CTATGTTTCTCATTTCCTCCTAATAATGAGTTATTAAGAGAATAACTACTTGATTTCTTTTCCCCTTGCTCGTTAGTATAGACATTAAGAGCTCAGACTTGAGGAATAATCTTTGGTTTGAATCCTGGGCCAGCCACCTAGGAGCTGTGTGACATTGGACAAGTTACTTGACCTCTCTGGGCCTTATTCCTTCACAACTATAAAATAAGAATAGTACTTACGTCATTAGATTAAAAAGGTTAGTATTTGTAAAAGACTTAGAACAATGCCTAGCACGTAACAACTGCTTTATCTTTGTTGAATAAATAAATTATATTCCAAACTTTAAAGAACTTTCATTATATGCATTCAATAAATACTTCTGTTTGTCTTTTAAACATGACACTCATCTTTTTATTTATAATATTTTTAGCTACCTTTTTCATTTGAAAACAAACTATTTCCCTAAATCCGAGTTAAACTTAAAAATGGTAACACCTTAAGACCTGCCCCACAGCAACATAAACTGTTAAACTGCACCCTTGTGTTATTTTCCCACCTAAAAAGCACCCCTTTACATTCATTGGTACGAAATCCAGAATGCCCTCATCCATGGATGATGCTAACAGCTACCCCTGTCCATAAAAAGACCCTCCAAGTAGAACATGTGAGAACATGGCCTTTTTTCTCCCTCCTCTGTGACCAATGACCAACGATTCATTGCTGGCCTTTGTCCTGACTTTATCAACACGACTCACACTGAAAAGTATATGAATATGGACATGGTTTTTATGAATTTCCATATTAGAAAAATCGGCTCAATTAACAAAAAGTGCCATTTTAATCACAGGCTTTTTTTTCTTCTTAGAAGTGATCAAGAAGAAATGTGGAAAACACTTCTTTTTCTTTTTATGTAGAAACTACTAACAGTTCAATAAATTGACTTTTGCTGAACACGAGCATATTAAAGTGATTTTTTAAAAATTAAAAGTGAAGATTTCCTTTGCATCAAAATATAAGGATTTTTTAGCTGACTCAAAGAAGATGAATAAACCTGTGATAATAATGATTGAATTATCGAGCAAGAAAAATATGTTACACAAAGACCAGAAAACAGAGAGGGAAAGAAAGGTCTGTAATGGTTTGGCTGCTAAAGGACATTTTTACACACATGCCAGCACTAAGTGCTCTTCGCAATGAATAAACCATATGTCCATTTTTATATGCTTCCTTTCACTAAGATCCTGCGACTTCACAATATTCCCTTTGTCCCACTCCCTGCCTTGTCTTCCCCCTCCTTCGGTTCCCCCATCCCCAACTTCACCTCCTTGGGCAAACAGTATTTGTGCCCTAGCTACCAACTTGAACATCTGCTACCTTTAAAAAAAAAAAAAAAAAAAAAAAAAAAAAAACCCCTGACTACAAAACACCCCCCAGGAAAAAAAGTTAGAAGGATCAGCATCCAAAAAAGAACAGCCACAAAAGGGAAAAAAAAAAAAAAGGCATATATTTTCCAGCTCAGTAAATTCTATCTATATAAAGATTAAATGAATAACATTTTAAAAATTCTTCGGTGCAAGCAAATCCATGTTACCAAGAATGTATTGTCTTTCTTATGCATAGAGGGAGACCCACACATTTTATTTTATTTCGCTTTTGCAACTGTGTCTCCTTTTCAACATATTACCATATAGAAGAGATACAGCATATATATGACTCTGGAGAAAAGAATGCCAATATTTTCCCTCTTTTTACCCGACGGTTTTCTCTTCTTTGACTTTTTTTTTTTCCCCTGTCCCCAAACACTTCCCCAACTGAAAGATAAAGAAATATTTCCACTGAATTAAAGTGAGCCCAGTGTTAAAATAGCTTGCCCAGATCCAACCAGAGCCCATTTTTTTAAACTCCACTTCAGCATTTGGTGGGCAGCTCTGCCCCTCCACTCGCTTATATGAGCCACTCCTCCTACCAGAATTCCCATCGCCATATACCTTTGCCCTCAAGCTTTCACTAGTCCATTGCCTTTATATGTTTGCACTTAATTTGATTCCATCCTTCATGCTTTTTTCATTATTCTTAGTTCATCCACACCACATAAATTATCACCTTTGTTTTCAGTTCCCCATGTGCCCCATTCACACCAATTCCAAATAAATACTTCTGATCCTCATCCATTTAATCCAAATTAATTCATATTCCCTCTCCCCATCCTCCATCCTCACCTCTAGCTCCCCTCCTGTTTCTTCTTCTTATAGCACCTACTTTTCCTTCCATGCTGATCTCTGAGCAAGGTTTTACAGGCAAAATGCTTCTGGAGGATGCAAGATGATTGCTTTCTGTATTGTTTTGGGAAAGCCAAGGTCTACAGCGCTGCCACCTTCAATGAGCCAATGCCTGCACGTCCATTTGCACTCTACAGCTGGTGTCCCTGAGCACCATACCCTCCACACAGAGAGAGGAAAAAGCTCGTCGCTTTTTGATGGTATTTAACTTTGGCTAACTGCCTTATTTCTCATTTATGTAGAGCTGTTTTTTCACACAATCATCACTAATCAATATCAACAGCTATCGTAATAACTACAACCAACTCCATTACTATCTTCAATGAGCTCTTAAGATGTGCCAAGTATTTTACATATATTGATTCATTTAGTCTTCAAAACAATCTAGGATATAGATAAAATTATCCCTATATTTTACAAATGACTAAGCTGAGACTCAGGGAAGATAAATCACTTAACCAGGTCACAAAAAGAGCCAGAACTCAGACCCAAATCCACCTACAACAAAGCCCCCACTTTTAACCACTCTGCAACTCTGCCTTTCAGTAAGGCAGGGTGCCTCCTTGAGTATATTCCCCATGGGGAGGAGTCTTTCCACATCAGTCCACCATAGGGCAAGTGGTTGCAGGTGCTGGGGAACATAATGAGCTCCACCTTGATAATCACTCTGAGTAGACAATGCCCAAAAAACAAAGCACCAAATAAGGCATCCCTCCTAAAGAGGTCTCCTTCTGACACATCTCTTGGGAGAAGGGGACAGGAAAAAAGAAAAATGCTCCGGACTCCCCCTTGAAAAAAAGAATCTTGCTTCCCCAGAGCTGTCCAGCCTTCCTACAAGACAGGATGTAGCCTGTCTTCAGGTCAGTAATTCAGAAACGTGCCCATAATCATGACTTCCATGTCCCCAACAAAGCTCAACATTCTTGCCTCATTCTGCTTTCTCTGGTTTCCTGGGGAGACCAGGAAGTGAGTCACCATCAAAGCCTGGGAGCACTGCAATGTCTTGTCATGACTTTCCTCACTGACTTGAGAAAGAAAGAAATATAAATAAAAAGAAGTCCTTCAGGACAATGTCAGAAAGGAAAAAAAGCTGACTTGAGCAGGAAGCGTTAGCCTTGGTGTCTGTGGAGTGGAGCACTCAGACTCTTGGGAAACCCTAACTGGGACTCTCCACTTGAGCCACAGGGTTCAAAAGTCATGTTAGGAGACCTTCCCATGAACCAAGCAAGGCCTAAACAGGAAGTTAAGTGCGGAACTGGAGCACCTGCCCAAGTGCTGTGTAGCAGGGAAGCAGTGTGTTCTCGTCCTCCCATGCACGGGACTGATTCTGAGGTTCGAAATAGTGATTTCTTCCAGACACATATTACACATCTGACTTTAGGAAAGTGCTTCTGTACTGCACAGAGATATTTCATGTTCCCACAACCCAGAGCATTAGAGCTGAGAGGGACCTTAAGCTAGTCCGTTTGATGGATCTAGAAAATGAGGCCCAGTGAGATAAAGGGACACCCTCAAGGTCACAGAGCTAGTTAGCGGCAGAGTTAGAATTAGAACCCAGGTTCTTCTGCTTTTCCAGGCAATGAGCTTTGCACTGCACATTTCCTTGGTGGGCACAGATCGCAACTCACCACAGAGCACCAGGAAGACCAGCCTCGAGACCACAACTCCCACCAGCCACTTCTCCCGGCTCAAACCCAATCGCCCGTTTCTTCCCGACTGCACTCTTACTCTGCTGCTCCTACTTTTGGAGCTCTTCCCTCATTCGGCTGTCCCGCGCAAGGAGTACGCAAAACCATACAGGCGACACCGCCGGGACCCATTTAAAACTCACCAATGACAGTAACTGCTCCTAGGATGCTAACACCAAGAAGAAACACCAGCCCTAAGCTTGTATCTCAGAGCACAGAACAAAGACCAGTTCCAAGGAAAATGTCAACCTCACTCTTTTCTCTATAAACCCCATTCTTCCAGATTACCCCATTGCTCCAAAGATCAATACGATCCCAGGGAATCACCGCAGAAGTCCTGAGGAAAATGTACAGTCCCCGTCGGTCCCCACTCTCCCTTACCACACACATAGCAGTGTAATCACTTTAGCAACTTCTCAGTAACAAGCTCATTAAAAAGCAATTCTGCCATCTCTCCATAAAGCACGCGCCAGAGAACAATGCAAAAGAGGAGATGCCAATTAATTATAGAATGATCACATCTAATGAACTCTGAAACCCTCCTGCTGTTGGTGACTTTGATGAAAAATCAGGGATGCTGGGAAAACAGTGAATAGGGACGCCCCGACTACCTTGTTTAACTGTGAGTTCTTTCAAATGTGCCTCCTCAGATTCCAGGGCTGCTCAAAACTGCAGAGCTACACTCATAAAACAATGGAAAGTGTCAGGGAGGTGACAAGTGTGTGTACGGTGTATGGCTGTGAGTCGCACCGCCAGAGCCCCATTCAGGCCTCTTTGCAACTGCGTGCTCCGACCCCGTGGCTGGTCTTGCCTCTGAAAGGATCACACAGCCAGCGAGCGACAAGCCCATGGCCTGTGCCAGGACATCTGCAGAGCTCAAGGTCACATGCGTCACTCTGCTGCCCCGCCCCAGCCCTCCCGCTTGGCTGCCACCTCCAAGTCAGCACAGTGCCACTCCTCAGGACACGGGACACGGGAGCCCGTCCCACCGAGAGGCTAAGGGAGGAAGGAGAAGAAGAAGAAACCACGTGCGGCCAACTTGTACCACTACCTGTGTGAGTCCTCTGGTGGGCCTTTAGGTGGGAGCTTTTTGTATAAACTTTCCGGCACCCGTTAAACTGACAGCGGTGAACCCTCTTCTTGTTTTCGGGGCATGCCTCGGCCCCCACCCCTCCTTGCTCACTGTCGCTCTGTCCGCTTTTAACTGTCCCAGCTGCCGCCACAGCCGCCGCTGCTGTTGCCACCCCTCCCACCTTGACCGAGCCGAGTGCAGCCTTCTTGGCCACCAGTTTCAACGTCACCGTGCCATCCACGGCTGAGAGAGTCTGTGAGGTTTTGACCAGATGGCGGCTGAGCTCAGGGGACGATGGGGGCGTTAATGAGGTCACTGCGTTGAGCTGGGCCTGGTTGACGGCTGTGTAGCTGTCGAGAGAAGAGCTGGTTGGCTGGAGGCTGAGGCAGGTCTCAGATAGCAACTTGTCCCGAGAGAGTAGAATGTCCACTGCCGAGCTCTTCTCACAGATGGTGGCTTCCACAGGGAGCAGCAGCGGGTCCAAGCGCCGGAAGCTTTCCTCTATGCACGGGGGTGGAGAAGCATGGAGGAAACAGTCCAAGTCCTCACCGAAGGTCTCCGAGATCCTCCTAGGCTCCGTCTGTAGGTAGCGTTCCAATTCAAGGCATGTCTGCAGAGGGGAAGGAGGGAGGGAAAGAAACAGCCATCAGAGGCAAAGAACACCACGAGGCCACATGTTGACAGGCAGAGCAGTAAGAGACCAAAGGAATGGTTTTGTGGCTGGAATCTGAAATTCTCTTGGTGAAAGGTCTGACCTTGTTATTTAGTCCCTGAATTCTTCTGAAGGGTTCATAAGGGTCACATCATTCAAGTTTAATGAAGGGGAACTAGAGGCCCAGAAGGGCTGTCTCACACCATCAAGATCCCAGAGGACATTCAATGATAAAATGGCCTCTTGCTCCACAACCCAAGTCAGCAGGTGAGATGCTCCAAGCATTGCTAGGAGTTCCATGTAACCAAGAAGCAAATAGAATCAAAGAGTCTTCTAACCAAAACAAGACTTCCCATAGTCCAACTTAATTTTCCAATAGACTTGAGCAAGTCGCAAAAATCAATTTTCTGACTTGCTCAAAAGGATAAATCATACCCACCCCAGCTACGAGGTGACCTCAGTCACAATCAGGGAAGAGCAAGCCCTGCCTTGGATTCCCTAACCAGCGGGAATGGATACTGTTCTAAAGAATGCCTCTCACAGCACCTCTGATATGCAAGACAAAACTCCCATTGTTTACAGCAAGTTATTCAAAATACAATTGCTACCTGTTTTGTGGCAAGGAGCAGAAGTAAGTCCAGTTACAATGGTTTAGCATCTATATGTGATAAAAATAAGTTCAAACACAGCTATTTGACTTGCTAAAGATAGGACCCAATATATTTCAACATAAAGCTTTCACCTGGTAAAGAAATAGAGAAAAAGAACTGAAAAGTTCAGAGCTGGACAGATCTTCATCCATGGTAGTCTTTGTAACATGGTGGAAGCGCTCTTAAGGCAAAAGTGGGTATTTAAGTTTATACTTGAAAAGCTCTCCTCAGTTAAGAATCCTGCCCTTCCAGAACCTTGTATAAAACCATGGTGCTAACCTGCACCATCAGCTCAATTTGCTCTGGCTTCTGGACTTCAACAAAGAAACACTGATGGCAATTTTAGAATGAGACTAGCTCCTTCTTTACTGCCTCCCTAGTAGAGCATCTTTGATTTCAACCAATGTTTGGATCTAAGGCTTTTATTCTGTTAAGAATATATTTTAATGGTATACCTAGTTGTGTTGTATCTGTTAAAGATTTTAGTTTGGTGACATTTCAAAAGGTTGTTTTTGTCTTCTCTTTCTTATCCCATTTATTCTCCCATAAATTTCTCCATTAGGAGATGCACTAGCAATGGGGCTTACAATTTCCCAGATATAGAATCATAGAACCATGGAGTTTCAGAGCTGTTTGTCTAGATTTTATGTAGATGTAGATTGTGCTTCTCTAACACGTTCACATGTCAGCATTTTACCTGTTTTTCTCAGACTGCATGTGATAGCCATTCCATGCTCACTACTTTGATAAGATTCTAGCTGCCTACCTAGGGTTAGCATTCAACCTCTAGGCCAGAATCCATTGATGGTCACTGCCTTTGGTATCCTCTGCCAGCTCGCCCTTCATGGCTACCAAACCCTACCTGTATCCTTATGACATCAAGGGCCCACCTCCTCCCACCCTGCTTGTCTCACTCCACTCTTGTTCTCTGAATAACTCAAACTCTACATGCAAAGTTCTTTCCTATTTGCCAAAGTATCCAACACCACCTTATATACTTTGACCTTCAAAATCTTTAAATTATTGCTTATATTCTTCCACTGGTTATATATTTGTCTTATGTCTTCTGTTTATTTTTTGTTATTGTTATTTTTTATTGAGGTATAATTGACCTATAAAAGTATATTCACTTCAGGTGTACAAGATAATGATTCCATATTTGTATATACTTCGAAAGGATCACCACAGTAAGTCTAGTTACCAGAAGACTGGTTTTTAATCAGCCTTATGGTAAAACTCTGCATTAAGAATAAGAAAACCAGATTTTTAACTATGAATCAACTTTGGGTTTCACCTTTGACTTTTAATAGCATAAACCAATGAATGATTCTAATCTTCATTCAACACTCATGGCGTATGTTTTTGTTCAACTACTGTATCCACAGCAAAGTGAAAGGTTTTCTGTGTGTTGGAAGGAGAATATATTAATAGATACATGTGATGTAGGTGCAGGATAAATAATTACAAGCTAAAAATGACATGAATTTACAAAGCAAAGTGATACCAAATAAAATACTATAAAGTGTGTTGATAAGTTCTTAGGGGATGAGTGGGCAAGGAGGTCTACACTCTATAATATGAAGGCATTCATCAAGGAAAGCTTATTGGAAAAGTCAGTTTTGATTCTATTTTATGTATTGATTAAATAATAGCTCTGGCTGAGTAGCTTCCCACCACTTTATATATGAAACCAATACTACTGAATTCTCAGGTTTAGAAATTTACATTATCCTCAGTTGCCCCTTTCTGAATTCCATGTCTCAAAAATTTTCCCTTTCCTTTTTCCATCTCATTTCTAGAAATTGTCATTTACTTCTCTCCAATACTGAAACCCTCTGGCTTAGCTCCAGTCAATTCACTTCTGAATTATGAGATCTTACTCCTAAAACCTCCATTAAAGCTTCCTTTCCTTTTTAAAACCCTCACCTACCAAGCACAGTGCCTGGCACCAACAGATACATATATCTATCAGACAAAGATAAAATCAACTTTATATTATTACTTTGATTATTTTAACTCCTCCATTCCATGAAAGTCATCTCCTGACTCCCTAATCTGGATGATGCTGAGGCTAGCAATCTTAGAAATGACCACTAATAAATGTTTTCTGGGACACAACTGTAATCCTTCTTTAGCTTTGTCCAACCAGATTTTTGAGACATGGATATGTTTCAGGTAAAAATCAGCTGAATCATGGGTTGTAAGTTGTCCTTGAGGCAGTTCCCTGCCTCACACGCAAAGACTATTTCACAACCTAGTCACCACAGTCTTTCGATAGTTTTTGTATGTCATGTCTTCTTACATACTTTCTAGCTCAAAGATTTGAAAGCCACTGAGAAATTGTTGTGATCGTTAAGAAGCTCAGATCTCTTCATATTCAGAGTTCTGGGAAACAGATTCTAAACACATTTACATACTTTTCTGGTAAGGTTAAAAAATAATCTACCCAGTATGTCCTACTTTAAATCCCAGGAGAACACAGGTCACAATAATGATCTAAAGATAGAGACACACCTACTAAAATGTGGAAAATGCTGGACCACTTAAGAGCAGCTATCACTTGCAACCCTAATACAGGGCATTCTTATTCTATCTGAGAATGAGAGAGGTATGAGTACCCATCAGGATGGACTGGATAGCCCTATGAAATCATTTTGAAATGGTTTTTGTCTTGAGAAATCCACTTCTTATAATATTCTACTTAGATGAGAAGATTCTGTGAACCAGAAACTCATCAGAAGTGCTGGAAATTAAAATGTCAAGAATGAAGAGAATTTTCATGTTAGATTATTTCTAAGCCAAAGAGAAAGTTTACCCCCAATGTTGTTCTTTAATGAATACAAAGGACTTCCTTAAGAAATGCCTATAATGTTTAATTAAAATCTGAGGTATTTACTCATAGATATTAATACATACATGCAGAGAGGTATATAGAAATAAATGTGTCTATGTATCTATGAGTATACATACATATATTTCCTAGCTCTGTCTTTACGAAAAGTCTACAGGAAAGACACCCCAATAGCAGCAGTAAGCACACCTAGTATACAGATCTTGGTTGCTAAATGTCATTATACAAAGGATAATGGTAATAAAAGGATAAAGGGAAACCAGGGCACCTTGGAGAAATAGTTGATTCGAAGTCTGGGTCAAAGAAAATATAAGATGAGTCTAGAATACCTTCTGGTACTAGAAGGTAAGAAGTGTTCATAAAGAGATAGAGCTATGTCATAAAAAACCTCAGAAGCCAATTTGAAGGGGCTCTTAATAACCAAATCTGGACAATATGAGCAAGAGAAATGAATAGTGATGATGGGATTTTAATACATGGAATAAAATTAATATCTATAAATCCACGGTGATATAAATAGTTGAATCAATAAACAACTGGAGATGGTTAGCTTCTCCTTACAGTGAAATTATAATTAATAAACATAGAAGGGATGATGGAAATAGAAAATCACCATTAGGCAAACAAAAAATAACAATGACTACAGGCAAGAAACACCAATGGATGCTAAAATTAGTACAGGAGAGTATAATGAAAAACAAGATATTTGCCTAGTCTCAAATCATCCCCCTCAGCAAAACATTAGTTAACTACAAAGACAAAAATAATAATTTTACAGTGAAGAAGCCTAGCATGCACCACTTTAAATATCTGATCAAAGTTAGTAGCACCCATAATAAGGCATACTGATATCATGTAACCTGGTATGAAGGCTGAAAAGGGTACAGAATTATTCTACACCATTCCTGTCCAAAATACATAACCTCAATGTAATCATGAGAAAACATCGGAACAATCCAAATGGAGGACCACTGTACAAAATAACTGGCTAGTGTTCTTTAAAAATATCAAGATCATGGGGGCAACAGGGTGGCACAGTCAGTTAAACATCTGACTCTTGGTTTCAGCTCAGGTCATAGTCTCAGGATCATGAGATCAAGCCCTGCACTGGGCTCCGTGCTCAGTGTGGAGTCTGCTGAGATTCTCTCTCCTTCTCCCTCTGTCCCTCCTACTTGTGTATTCTCTCTCTCTCTCTCTAAAAATAAATAAATCTTTGAAAACAAATACCAAGATCATGTAGAACAAAGGAGATTGTACAGAAGACATTAAGAAGCTGTCCCAGATCAGAGGAGACTAAGGAGATATGATAACTAAATGCAATTGATTTTGAAGAGAAAAAAGACACTGATGGGAAAAATAATTTAATACAAATAAAGTGTACAGATTAATTAATAGTGTTGTGTCAATATTAATTTCCTGGTTCTGATCATTGTATTATGGTCACAAAACATTAAGGG